ATAACAAAAAAATATGAATCTATTAATTTTAAAATATTTCTCTTAAAATTGAAACAATGAATCTCATGCTGTTTTATACTTGCATATTCTTACAAACACACAACATAAGTTAAAATCTTCATTGCTTGAAGAAGATTTGGTATCAAACATATTCAAACATCGTCTTTTTGACATATATGTACATAGAAGTCTTTTCTCATCTGTAAAGCGTAGCAAGTAGATTGTTATGTAATGGATCAGAGACATGCTCAACAAGATTTTGTACAGGACCTTTACCAGTGAGAGCAGCCTGCGCATAGAATCCAAGCCACGCGACCATCGCTAATCTCCCGTTTTTAATCTCTTTAACTTTAAGATCTTCAAAAGCTACCGGGTCCTCAGAGAGGTTCAAGGGATCAAAAAGTGTCCCTCCTGGATAGTTTATGTCTCCTGGCAAGTATATTCCTAGTGGCTCTAAGGCCTCTATGCCACAATATCTCGCGTATTCCGGTCCTACCTGTATACGGTATACCAGAAGGTTTCTTGTTAGAGAAATGAATGAGATGAAGCATGTGTGTTTTGATGATTTGATCTTAATGGTATTACCATTAAGAGTGCTTGGCAAATGGCAATTACTATAACACCTTGGCTTCCAGCTACGTGAAGCCCGGGAATGCCGAGGTAGTCCAACGTCTCTCCCTGTTAATAAAAAGAAAGGCTTACACATGATGATCAAGCTACTGACCAACTGAATCTTACGATGTTATAGACTTACTAGTAATTTGATAGTAGTTTGGTAAAGAAGAAAACCTGAAGCTTCGAATAACCAACTCGCCACCATACGGGTTCGACAAAATGGAAAGCTCCCGTGAGATCAAATACTTCTGGGATTAAAGCACCCAATGCTGCAAGCATGGCCCAACGAGCATGAAGTATTTCAAAGCTGCAAACAAAAGTGGTAAGACTAAACTTCTATTTAACAAAAAAGTTGTAAACTAATACAGAACAAGGTAGGAAATTGCAAAGGAGAAGACTCACTTGAAATACTTATCAAAGTTTAAACGATCCTTGCCAAGTCCAGCAATGTCGAATCCATAATCACCAGGAAATTCTCCTGTAAGGTATGAAGGATAATCATATGGAATTGGACCAAACCAACGTGGACGTTCTTCTCCATACCACTTGCTGCAACACTTACAAGAACAAAACCAAGGAATCGTGTAACACATGTTACATGGTACTTTTGTATGAATCTATCAAGACTGAAATCATTACTAATCATAGTATCAAACATTGCCTTCACATAACTTCCTATGTCACAAAACACTATTTTATAATTTTTCATTTTGATCATCAATAATTTGTATCTGTAGTACAATAATTAAGGTTACAAAAATCTTTAATTACCTGTCGTTTCTAGCTTTTTGAGCTTTAGCTTTGAATCTTGTTGAATTCTCCACTGCTTCTTTCTTTCTCTCTTGTAATCCCCGTCGCAGAGATTCTCCGAACGAGCTATTCGCGATTGCTTTCACCGCCGTGAACGGAATCGCCGAGAAAACCAACACACCGGCGAGCTACACAAAAAAAAACAGAGAGGATAAATCAAGAAGCTGATTTCGAATGAAAACATTACCCCAATTCAAAACAAAACCTCTTGCCATGAAGCTCTGCAAATCGAACGAGACTTTGTAATGGCGATCCTACTACGAGGCTTGGACACGTGTCTCCTTGTAAGAGAACGGAAAGAAGAACAAGTTGAAGAAAGTGGAAGCTTCTCGTGAAACAGAGCCATGTGTTTTGTTTGGCCTTGAAAAAGGAATAAAATGATTTTCATTAATTATTTAAGGGACCAAATTTTCTACGTTACGGTTTTGTCGACGTGTCTTGATATTAGCCTGTTCTTTTTTCCAGACCCGGTTTCGAGTAGTGGGCTCGCTATTCATAAGCCCAACTATCCAATGAATTAAAAAGGAATATTTATCGAAACGACATCGTTTAGTAAACGCGCAAGCTAATTACACACTCTTTGAACAGAACAGAGAGAAAATCTCTGACTGACCAAATATTTCGATAGATATGGATGACTGAGAAATTTTTATAATCAGAATCAATCTGTGATGTTTTCTTATTAGTCTCTTAATCACCTATTTAATCAGAATTTATACATCTACGATAACATCATTTATCGAATTATAATGACATTGTGGTACGGGACGAGAGAAATAGATTTTTGTTACTGTTCTGTTCGGTGCGGGATGATGAGTGTTTGAAAGCCTTTAATCTTCGTAGACTCGACACTCGTCGGTCTCAGGATTCTCTTGACAAAAACTCTCGAGTGGATCTTGGTTAAGAAGGTTGAGTTTGATCCTAAGATCTGCTTTGGCTTGACTTACTTCTTCGACTTCGTCCCACGCGACTCTACACTCTTCCGATCTCTCGTCCGCCGCGCAAACCTCCGTCGCTTCCTTCACTTTCTCCTCTATCATCCCTGATAGCTTCTCCTCCCTCATTTTTGTCCCCTTGTACTTTGCCGTCGCCGTCGCAATCGCTAGCTTGAATCGTCTCGATTCTGTTTGTCTTAGATGGAAAAATTCCGATCCGGTTGAGATCTGAGGTCGATTCTGGTG